TGGGTGGGCAGGAAGGGGGAGCGGGCAGATGGGCAAGGACCAGCATCTCTGGAACAGGAATGGGCCTGGCACCCAAAACACTGGGGCTCAAATCCCAGGATTACCACTTCCTAGTTGCAAGTTGTGTTCCAGAAATTCTGATTTCAGAACTGTTTGAGCTTCAGTTTCTTTTACTGAATGGTGAAGGCTACAATCCCTGACCCACATCCCTTGCAACCAGGGGGGTGTGGAGCAGACTAATCCGGGAGAGCTTTCTAAAGAAAGCAGGCTGGCGTTCCACTGCCAGTGGACCCGGTATGGCTGCTTTTACAGACTCCTCCGTGCATCCCTCTCTGTGAAGCATGGATTGACTGAGACTGTGTAAATGAAACTTCAGAGCTGGCCTTCACTTCTTCCACCAAATCCTACAGATTCAACCTCCTGAAACAGCTCTTGAATCTACACATCCGTCTCATCCTTGGAGATGTATTCAAAGATTGCAGCTCTTCCTAATTCCTTGCAGTCCATCATCCATGTAGCTGCCAGCATAATCTTTCTAATATAGGAATCTGCTTATGCTGTTCTCCCAGTCAAGATAAAGTCCAAAGGCCTTAGAGCAGCATGCAACTGTGATGATGGTCTGACTCTGCTTCATTCCCCACCCCACCCCCCATGGCCTATGTGCCAACCAGGCTGTTGCCCATAGAAGGGCTCTGTCCTCTCTCATCTCCGTGCTGCTACCTGGAATGTCCCTCCCCCTCTCTTCTCACAAGCTCCTGCTCATCCTCACTCAGCTCAGCCATCACCTTCCTTCTGGGGCCTCCCCAGATCTAATACCCCTTCCTGCTTCCCTTCAAAGCTACAAGGGAAGCTTGGGGTCAGTTTTATTCTATAGGCTTGAAGAGACATTTCAAAAGATGAAAAAGAATGTCCAAAGAAAGTTACCAAAAAAAGATTTTTTTTTCATTCTATCCCTGGGAATGTAATTCATTTGGAGGCAAATTGAATATCCTGATTTGAGGCCTTTCAAAAATGTCACACCTGGCCAAATGACCCTTCTGCTCTCTGTCACATCCCATCCACTGTACTCTCATGCCCTGCTTTAAAATCCAGCAAGGTGCACGACTGCTAGTGCACCAGCAAATATATTCAAGGGATATGTTCGGACGGACAAGTTTTACGAACTTTCTAGATCCTCAACTTTTATGTGCATATTTTCTTAAAATGGACCTGCCTGAGCAAGAGCTTGCTGTGGAGGCCTCAGCCTGGTTGGTTTTTCCTTCCCCCCACTTTTATAATCATATTTCATCTCCTTTGCAAAGACAGGCCTACTTCCCACCCCTCCTAAACCTCACTAGTGTTCTGAGCTCCAATGCCAGATTTAAAAAATGTCTGTCTCAAACCAAGGGACAAGAAAGTTTGCTATCTGTGAAGTCTTTTTTTTTTTTGTATTTCAGTGTTTTGTTTTGTTTTGGTTTTGGATTAAGATTCCACAACCACCCCCATCCATCCTCCCAGATTTGCAGTTCCGTTAAAGTTTTGGTTTTTAAGCCCAGTAGTTATTTATAAACGTATTAATATACACATGTGGTTGCAGTTGTTTGTATACTAGTAATAAAGGCCACCTTAAATCATACCTACAGAAAAAAATTGTCGTAAACTTTATGAGCCTTATGTTCAGAGAAAATAAAACAATTCCAGCCTATAGGTATTGTTTTATGGCTGAGAAATATGATGGAGGGGCAAGGTAAGACTTTCAAGCATAAAAATATATTACCTGAGAAACAAATCCAGTGAGGGGACGTAGAATGGAGATACTGGTTTTGAGGAAAGAGAGAAGTGACATGCAAATTCCAACTGCATTTTTCGAATGGATATGGGTAGGTATCAAATCACTGGGGTTTCTATAGTTCATTGGATATATTAAAAAAAGTTGATTGTAATTTAAAAAATTTTGGGGGGGGGGAGTCATTGAGGGTACAAAGGATTAGGTTGCCTTTGTTAGATAAAATCCCTTTTAGAATTGTGTCCCGTCCCCAAAGAGTGCATCCTACACGGTGCTCCCCACTCCCTCCATCCTCCCCTCTCCCCACTCCCTCATTCCCCTACCCCACCCCTTGTATTAGCTCATCTGCTGCCTTCATGTTAGAATTGAGTATATTGGATTTCTTGCTTCTCCATTCTTGTGATGCTTTACTAAGAAGAATGTGTTCCGTCTCCATCCAGGTTAATACAAAAGATGATGTAAAGTCTCCAGATTGTGGTTTTGTTTTAAATGTCAGTCTTTATAACGTACAATGTGGGTTCATGGTTTAAAAATAATTTAAAATTAAAAATAATTTTAGAGAGTACGAGAACCAAAAAAAAAAAAAAAAAGGAAGACCCATGCCCTGAGAAATGGTAGACCTCACCTCTAGGTGAGTACCTGAATATCTGGGGTTGAGGGGAGGGGCTGAGTGGACTGGGAGACAATCTGAGCTTGGAGAGGATGAAGCTTATCTGGAAGTAGATGGTGATCCCCGTGAGGACAGCTGGACAGCTCTGGACAGTGTTCAAACGCCGGACAACTTGAAACACGAGGTAGGGGTAGGTGGTGGTGTTCTGAAGATCCCACCCAGCAGGCTGAGCCAAACCAGGCTGGGGGGTGTGTTCACAAGCTGGGCAAACATCAAAGTCATGTGTGTAAGAGGTGATGAACCTGGATTCCAACCAGAAGCCAGAGTCTGGCAAAGATGTTAGAACTCAAATAAAGACACTGGGCTTCAGAAGAAGGCTCTGCTATTAGAGCAGGCTGGCCACTGTAAAAACTAACCCTCAGTGGTTTGATCCAGAGAAATGTCTTCCCTTGTGTAACAATTCTGTGACTTGGGGGCCTGGGTTCCTTCCGTCTTAGTCTCCATTTTCTCCACCTTGCCTCAGGTGCAATGTTTATAGGCCTGTGTGGTCACTATGGCTTGTATCCCACTGGACAGAACTGTTGCATGACCATGCTAAGTGCAAGGAAGGCTGGACCAGGTGGTGTAGGTCGTGTCCACAAGGAGTGGACATGGGTTTGCTAAACCTCCAACACGCTCCCTATCGCTGTCAAATTCTAGAGCCAGGCTTCCGTCTAGGTTTCAATTCTGATTAATCTCCTTTAGCCTGCTTCTTCACCAGCAAAACACAGATAACAACAGTACCTGTTTTGTAGTGAAAGGGTTACACCAGCTGCAGAAGGTCCAGGTTTAGGGCTCGGTGACGGCTCTTCACAGTGGCTCATGTGCCAGGCTTTGCAGGATGAGATGTTTTTGTCAGAGACAGAGGGCTTCGGACCCAAGTTTTCACTGACTCAAAGACCAGCGGGGTGAGGACGCTTACTACCTTTGATGGGACCTTTCTTCTCTAAAAAGTTCTTTTGATTTATTACCAAGAGGCCATTTCCTGACCGCGAGAGATTTCACTAACTCTCACCCGATTCCTGGCTGAAGATGTCCAAAGAGACTTCAAGGCCAGTGATTTTCAAAGAGGGAATTGAATTCATATGCTTTGAAGAGAAGGGACGGTTGGTTGAGTGGTTAGTGATGTTCTAAATGTGGATGAAAGAGCCACCCTGCACAGGCGGCATGTGACAGGCCCCCAGCGTCTGAGGGCTTGAGCACCAGTGCGAGTCTATATGCCACCGTGGAGTCCAAACACTCTCTAGCCATGAAGTCATTTCCTCTAAGAGATGCGGAAGATGCCAAATACACAATTGGTTGCCCCCAAAGAATCTTAACCTACAAATATGCAATCAGCTGTCCCCAAATGATACATTTCTGAGAAAGGTGCCTGATGATGAAAATAAAGCTGAACTCTAACGTGTAATGGCTCCATCTAAACTGGAAGGTGCCACCAAGTGACCGGTGCCCTGACCTTGTACACAAAGCTGGTGGTAGCTTATGATCCAAGTCAGACATGAAAGGACATCTCTAGGAGGGCACCACCGATTCCCTCACATCAGCCACCCTGCTCCATACCGTGAACGGGGGACTGTTTCCTGTCCTCTTTGAGGGGTCAAATGGTCTCAAATATTGAACTGGAAAGTGTTCCAGGAATACATTCCACTTCCCTGGTCCCCATGCAGTTGGTCAGCGAGGGCCGTGATGTGCCAGGAACTGGGCATTTGTTATTATTTCTCCCCACCCCTCAATATGTCCGGAAGCTGCTCAAGGTCACATACCTGCTAGGTGACAGATTTGAATGCAGAACTGTGTTCCTCACCATGAAGCTCCCTTCTCACTAGCTCAGAGCTGTGGAGCCCCTGGGCCTGGGCAACACTGCTGTAAACCAGCCTTCTTACCCATCAGGGGTTTTATTCCATCTTCCCTCACCAATTCATTTAGGGGAAGGGGGGAAATGCTGTGAGTCTTCTAGACAGCAAAATAAATATTTGCTTCTGTGCAAAGAAGTTGCAGATGATGTCAGGTAATTACAGAACTACTGAAGCTACTGCATGGATTGCCCCCAGGGGTCCTGAACTCAAACTCAGAGCCAAGACTGCAATGACTTGGCCATAAAGGGAGTTAGCAGAGAGTATTTAAAATTCTGGGCCCCAAATCTACTGATTCGGAGTTGCTAGATCTATACTCCTATAATAGGTCCCATATGCTATATCTAATAGGAAAACAGTTTCTGGACTGGCTTTTGGGAACCACCCCTCTCAATGATGTCCGTTCAGTGGATCAGGATTCATCTCAGGCACTGCTACCTACGTTAATGTTAGGTAAGCTGTCTAACCCCCAACCCTCAGTTTTCTGCTCTGTAAATGAGGATGAGAGTTGTCACTACCTTATAGGGTTGATATGGGAGTAAATAAAATATTACATGTAGGTGTTTAGTACAGTGTCTGGCACATAAGTACTCAATAAATGTTAATTTATTACTAATTATATACTAGCATCATTTTATCATCTATCCAATTAACCTCTGTAAATGGTCTCTTGGTTACTGGGGTATGAACAGAAGCCAACTCCTAGCTAACTGTTAACAAACATACATGAAAGAAAGGAAAAAAATTCAAAGTTTATTAAACATTAAGAATCACAGACAGATAAAGGTTTGGACTTTAATAGCATAAATACCACCAATATCATGGTGTACAATTAAACTAACCTCATGTCAACTTGTACCTGTGTAACAGATGCGATCATTGTGGTGTTGCCAAAAGGATAATAGATTATTGTTATGTTTGGTAAGGTGCTCAAAAATTGAAGATTTTATGTTACCATAAACAGTCACGCAAACACACACACACGTACACACACTCGGCCCCCCACAAAACATATTGACTTTAATTGCTAAATCTGGTTCATATAAGGCTTTATTCATTGTTTAAATGACATCATTAATTGTAGAAAAACCATGGAGGAGACCTTGGCCTCAACAGCAGGGGGTACCTAAGAGCCCTTGGCAGGAAGAGAAGCAGATTGGGGCAGAAGGGGCCCACCACGTGGAGGGCAGCATATCTAGTCTTAGGCACCTGTAGGGGGCTGTCCCCAGTGCTAAATCCAGGTCTCCACCCACCACACATACAAGCATGCTGAGTCTGCCTCCTTGCCATTGCTCTCATGAACTATGGCAAAGTTTTGGGTTTTCCTGAAAAGAACATCAGAGGAAAATGAATTACTAGAGAAGGCGAAGTATAACTTTGCATTTTATAGAATATCTGTTGTTTTAACCTGGGGCACAGGGGAGGGCGCCACTTACAATTCTTGGCTCTTCTGAAAACAGACCCTTGACATTCTGCATGTACATTGGGAAGTATAGTTGAGTTTCCCCACAAAACCAGTGGGTTAGAAGGAACCTCTGGGTTCTCTAGTTCAGCTTCCCACCCACTTGATGTCAAGAATTCCATCCACACTATCCTCAAACAAAAGGTCCTTTTGTTTGGCGGGAGGGTTCCACGGAGCCCTGTTGTGTTAAAGACAAAGGGCCTGACACACTCTGGCCTGATGTGGTTTCTGTAGGGTCCACAGTGGCCACTTTCGCAAGAAGAAGTGATCATTTCCAACCCTCCTATCCCCTAACCGCCTTCTCAAGGCATAGTACCAACAGAAAGATAGGCTAGTCAATTTTCGCCTTTGCCAAAATAGGAAAACTACAATGGGACCCAACCAGAAAGTCCTATGCTGCTCATTCCAAATCGTGTCTACATGATGTCAGCACTATATGATTTGGATTCATTTTTAATAGCCAAAATAATCAACCTCTGGAAGATGCTTAAGATGAAAAAGTGAAACATGATACTAGAATTCTTCTAAGAGCTGCAGTCTGCAGGCTCTCGCTTGACCCAGGTTGGCCCACGTCCCTGCCCGTCAGGCGGCGGCTTCCCACTCATACATCTGCCCCACCTCCTAGTAACTGCCATGGACACCCGGGCAGCCAGTCCAGGAGTGGTGTTCATGTGTGTGTGTCATGAGAATCACCTGCATATAAGGCACCTGTACAGACTCCCAAGTGTTCAAATATTTAAGACGAGGTAGGTTTCTGAAAACCTCTCCTGGCACACAGTAAAGTAAGTTTCATTATGATCTTTTTATTTCTTCTGCAGAAAACATTTGTGATACTCATTTAACATAAACATCTAATTCCAAGAAAGACCAGTGCTCAAATATCAAGTTTTGTTTTTCAGCTACCATTTGATACTGCCATAAATTTGGATGGCCCATGGCACAATCCTTCAACACTGTTCCACAGAAAGACATAATGATTTTAATGACAATTGCCATTTAACAAGGCCGCAATTAGCCTCTTTGCCTGTAAAAAGGCCAACTCTGTGTCCACTTGGGTCTCTCACTGACTATCTCTCATTTCGTCGGCTTAAGATTGCCAAAGGGTTTTGTTCTTGTAAAATTATTCACTTGAACAAGGTATTCCCATTCCAGTATTGCCCCATCTCCTGCTATTATCTGTAGCCTGGGACAAAACGAATTCCTCAGAGGAATATCCTACTGGTCCACTTTTCCAAGACTGTGACAGGATGAGAGAAGCCGATGGACTGACCCTGACCAGGAGACCACCAGCTTATTAACAAATTAGATACTCTGGGGGCAGGAATCTAGAAAATCCCATCGAGGAAGGGTATTTTAATCTAGCACAGAATGTTTTCTTTGCCCTAATAGCAGAAATCTCTTGACGTTATACGACTGAAGTGAAACAAAAGAACGGTCATCTTTAAAGTCAAAATATCTACCAAATTGCAAAGCATACACATAGCACGGACATCACGCTCCTAATGCGTGAGAGGCACAGGCCCGCAGACAAGAGCCGAACTGTCTGGGGCACTGGCAGTGACGCTCCATGCCAAGAACTCAGAATTTTGAAGTGAACATTTTTGTGGCAGATGCTTTTCCTAAAAAACACTGCATCATCCAATAAATATTTGACTAAAATCCATTTTGTGCTTTTGGGTGATGTTAACTGACTCCTTTCTGAGGCCTCACAGAAAACAAGCAAGCTCCCTGTGTATCGCAGAGCGGGATTCGTCATGGCAAACTTCGATGGTGTCATAAAATTTTAATTTAAAGCAGGAAACATGCTGATGTGTCAGCGATAGGCTTAAAATATTAAACACTTCACAAAACCCCCAAGCACACTCCTTCTCTGTACAACATGGGTGAATATATATCTTTGCTATATAATTTTAAAACATGGAATAGTTCTCCTTTTCTCTTTTCTATATATAATATATGTCTTCCAAAATACATTGTCAGTATTTATATCTGAAAAATACTGTACAAAAAAGAACTTCCTATAATTACTCTGTATAAACATTAAACAATTTAATAATCTCTCCTTTTGGTCTATAGTAAACATTGAACTTGATTGGATCTAACCACAGTTTGTGACAACACCATCCCCTTCTGAGATTCACCAGTGTCTTTTACATTCATTTTTCAGAAGTCCACTGTATAAGAGCACAGATGTTCAAAAGCAAACAGAGAAGAAAAAAACAGAAGCGCCGGGATCACTAATTTATGAGGCATTCAAAAGGGACACCACTAGGAAAAGGGGTCTTACAAAACATAGGCTTAACTTAACTGATTTTTTTTTTAAACAGCAAAGTATAATTCACAAAAATATATATATTACCAAAAAAAAGGGGGGGTGGGTGGAAACTGAATCTTAAGGAAATGACTTGTTTTTGAATATTAAGAGGGATATGGAAAAAGTTAACTAGAAAAGTGGGGCTGGGAGGGGTTGGGGGAGGGGGGAGACAACAGAACTGAACATATCAATGTCAAAGGCGAGTCCAGGACGCGTTTTTTGGGCTCATGTACTGGTAAGTTAACCCCTCATTCTTAGACCCCCCGTTTCCCTCTGCTTCCTTATCCTAGGGATGTTCTGGTCATGCTCAAATGCATTGCTTTAATTTTTGTTTTTTTTTTTTTTAAAGACAGTGAAATTCTTAGGTAGGGAGAATATCCTACGTCCACTAGTAATACTCAGGCAGCATGCTCTAGCGTACAATAGGATTATTGCTTTAGTACAGACAGTGCAAAAACACACTCTGTGTTCTATAATAGTACTCTTACTTATCTGGGGTTGGTAGAATTGAAAAGGAAACTTAGTAGAAACAGCGGCAAGTAAATACGGGATCTAATAAATCTAAACAGCACTTTAAATTTGAAGACGATTATCACCAAACCGGAACAGAAGAGGAAAGCAACCTATGGTGGCACAGGGCCGCAGCGTAGTGCTAAGTTATCCTGCGCACCTTATCAGCATGGGAACTTACAGACTAAACAGAAACTGACATCCACTATTTTACCAGGGCCCTTCTTGGTGAATCCAAGCAGAGAGTCCCGGAAGAAGAGGAGGTAAGCTCGAACACGAAGCAACGTGGAAAGGGCGCAGCGGAGGAGAAGGGTGAGGGCTCCAAAGTCTAGTAAAAACATGGCACCTTTCTTTTTTTGGAACTAAAAGACAGTGAGAGGGCTACCTTCAAATGGCAAGTGCAAAGGAACGCACACGCACACACTGCTGACCACGCACGTGAGCACGGCACAGGTACGCACACGCACACACACAGATGCACACCGAGATGGGAGTGGGTTGTGTTGATGCCTCTGGTAAAGTGCTGATGTCAGAAAGGTTGGTTTGGGTGTGGTGCTATCAGACAGGAAACAAACGGTCCATCTATTCAGAAGCCAGCCCACAAAAATGCCGTCCTACAGGGGCCCATGCCTGGCCTCGTACTTGGCAAGTATGTTCTTGCATTTGCCCAGCTCCTTCCGCAAGTCAGCCACCTCCTGGCGGAGGGCCGAGTTCTCCTTCTCCAGGAACGACGCCCGGATGGCGATCTGGTTCTCTTTCAGCCGCCGGGCGTCGCGGGAGCGCTTGGCCGCCATGTTGTTCTTTCTGCGCCTTGCCCAGTACTTGTCATCCTGCTCATTAGTCACAGAAGGAAAAAGAAACAAGATATTAGATTTCAGCAAAGCTGAGTGTCAGCCAGGGCGCTGGCAGCCTCCACGGTTGGGCTGAGGCGCCAGCCCAGTTCCTCAACTGTGTCCCCTTCCTTCACAGGCTCTGTGTGTCGCCGAGAATGGTCCAGGAGCTGTGGCTTCCTTCCTGGAGCAGGGACCAACCTGTCCCAACAGGTCCCTACTCTCTGCCCTCAATGGAGTATGTGCCCAGGGAGGCAGAAACCACAGGCTGAAGGAAAGCAAAAGGCTTGCCTCACGCCTTAAATCACCTTCCAACCTTCTCCACTCTCTTTGCTGAAGATCGTATTTTGAGACCCTTTTCCTTCTATGGGCCCTCACATGCTTTTTTTGATGTAAGCTGGTCTGATATTTTTGGAAGGCAATTTGGCAATATCTATCAACCATTTAAATGCCTTACTACTGCAGCTCTCCCTCTAGGATTGAACTCCACAGCTGTCTTCAGACATGTCCACAAAGACACAGGCACAAAATGTTGACGGCGACGTTGTTTGTAATAGAGAAAAAGGGGGACAAACTAATCACATGTAGGAAAGTTAATAATTACGTTATCACATAAAATCATACAAAGGAATATTCTGCAGCTGTTAAATGGAATGACCCAGCAGATCCAGGAAAGTGTTCACCATGTATCACAATGTGGGTGGGGAACAATGGCATTCTGCAGACAAGTATGTATGGTCTCATTCCAGTTTGAATAAAAAAAAAAATCATAATATTCGCCAGGTGTGCTGCCTTAATGCCTATTATCCTAGTACTCTGGGAGTTCAAGACCAGCCTGAGTAAGAATGACGCCCTGTCTCTACTAAAAACAGAAAAAACGGAGGCAAGAGGATTGCTTGAGCCCAAGAACTTGAGGTGGCTGTGAGCTATAATGCCACGGCACTCTAGTCAGAATGCCAAAGTGAGACTGTCTCAAAAACAATAAAAAATAAAGTAAAAAAATCGTAATATTATATATTCATAGAAAGCAGCCTGTAAGTATTTATACCAAGCTATACAAGTGGTGTCTCTGGAGGAAAGAGAGGAAGGAGAGGGGTTAAGACCATTAACCTTTCATTTTATGGGCCTGTACACTTTGGTAATTAAAAACAAAAATTAAGGGCAGTGCCTGTGGCTCAAAGGAGTAGGATGCCAGCCCCATGTACTGGAGATGGTGGGTTCAAACCTGGCCCTAGCCAAAAACTGCAAATAAACAAATACAAAATAAAAAATAAATCCCTCTAAATTGCCACTAATCCACGCACTCACGTTGGTGGCTAGCATTTTAATAATGTGCTCTGATCTCCTGTTTAACTGTTCTCTAGGCCTTCATTAGCCTCAGTAATATTGCATGGTGGTCGGTATAAAAGCAACCCTTCCTTATTCCTCCATCCCTTCTGCTTCCCACTGAAAGAAAGGAAAAGCTTCCTAGGAAGACTAAGAAATGTGAGTCTTATTTTAGACCTTCCTAATTCATTGATGGTGCCACCTGATGAATGGGGCAATT